GTAGACACAGTACAGCCTCCCCTCCACCCCCACACCCACCCCACCACTACCCCCTGCGCATGGATGGGAGAAGGAAGCATACATACATCACAACAAAGAGTGCCTGCCCTGTTACACTCACTGACTTACAATGCCAACTTCCAGCCTTGTACCAGCAGCCTGCTCTGAGCAGGTGATACCCCAGGATAGCCCTCCAAAAAAAAAACTGAAAATAAATTTAAAAAGACGACCCTCACCAGAAAGTCCTTCAGAGTTCTCTGTGCACTTCTGAGCTCTGGCCCAGACTGAAGACCTAGCGACAGGCCTGTCTGCCTTGCCATGCTTGTCTCATTCCCAGCTTCTGGGAACAGGTCCACCTGGGCTGTCCTCAGGCCTCAGCCTTCCCTGCCCTCTGCTGCCCTCCACAGAGGAACGATGGCAGTCACCAATCTCAAGCTACTTACTCACCCAGTGTGAGCACAGGAGCATCAGGAGCTAGGTAAGCAGTGCTCACCTAAGCTAGGGAACATGAGACAGCTCCTACTTTGGAAAAGCCAACTCCCATCCCCTCGCCCCCATTCCCCCAGCCCCAGGTCCTGGCCTCCTCCACCCCAGCCTCATACCAGGGGGAAATGGAAGCTACACAGGTAAAGCATCAGCAGAGGCTGGAGTTAAGATGGACACCCCACACACACACATATATATGCATGCATGGGCACACATGCCACAAGTGTACAACTGACCAGATGCAGCTGTGACTGGTTCCAAGGAGGCCCTTTTGCTCAGAACAGTCTCATTTGCTCTGCTGTGCACTGGAATAAGCTGAGTGAGCTTCCTGTAGTCGCATCCTAGGACTCAGGGGCTGGAAAGGGCTTCACTTTTGTTTGTTTTTGCTTGAACTCACTTGGACGCTGTCCTTGAACTTTTGTGGCTTGTGCTCCATCACTTGAGCCAAAGCTCCACTTGGGGGGGCTAGGGATAGTTATTTGGAGATAATAATCTCACCAACTTTCCTGCCAGCCCAGGCTTCCAACCTCAATTCTCAGCTCTCACCCCCCTGAGTAGCTAGGATTACAGGTTCCCAGCTCAGAGGGCCTCATTTTAAAGACAAGTCCCCTCCAGCAGGGAGGCTGTCATGACCAATTTGCCTCTGGGCTGGGGTAGGGGGAGAGACCCACCTTGGAACCTCCCCTGAGTGACTTCCCTCCGGGCAGGTGCAGGCCACCCAGTAGGTGGAGCAGTGTGGTTGACTCTGGTATACTGAAGACCACAGTAGGTATGACTATTGCCACTCAGACATGCCAGCCTCCACAGGGACCTAGCAACTCCCCACCTCCCCGCAAAAGCATGGTATCTGTCAAGTTTGGTCATCTGCTTGTTCTCTTCCCTTCCCACCCCTGGCCTTCATGAAGGGCAAATGCAAGCCCTTCACTCTGTTTCCTACCTGCTGCTGATCCTTCTCTCAGCCCACTGGGGGAGGGGGTTCAGCTGCCCTGGCCGGGGGGGGGGGAGGGGGAAGGGGGTGTCTCCCTGTCCTGTCCCTTTTACTGCATTTCTGAAGGCCACGCAAATCAAGGATGTGCTTGTACAAGAGCTCTTGTACAAAAGCTGCTCACAGAAAGAATGCAGTTCTGTTCCTTATTCTGAGCACAGCAGCAGTCCACAGCCCCAGTGGCACCCTGTGTGAATGGGTGAGCTTGCTGACAACGGAGGATCTATATCAGCTCCTCACCCCCCACCTCAGGAGTCACACCTTGTCCCCTGCCAACGCCTGGAGCACAGTCAGGGAAAGCCAGGCATGTGTGCTTCTCTTCCCCGGGCACTGGAGCACTCAACTGCCAAACGAGTATGTACCAAAGGAGCACAGTTAGCTCCAGCCTGACACACCAAGCAAGCCTGCTACCCTCACTGGAAGACCCAGCCCAGCTGCTTGAAAAGCCAGAATTCTGTGAGGCCAGCCTTTGGGAATCCTAGAAATTCCCGTCCACCAATGTAGGGAGGCCGGGGAGGGTCTCCTTTAATACAGAAGTTCTGGCTTCAAGCAACAGCCACAATAACAACAACATCATCTTGATGTTTGGCAGCAGCAGCAGCAGCAGCAGCCCTTCTCCCTGAGCAGGGTTGTCCCACCCCCAGACTCAGGATAGAGTGCTGTGATCTCGTGTGGTAGTGCCTAATTCTAATAGGAAATTTCCTTCAGCCAGGAGGTGGCGTCACCCACAATCCTGACACCTTTGAACCTTGTTCCACACTCCCATCAGTGGTACAAATGAGTGTGCTGCTTATCCCAGCCCATTCCTATCACCTAAAAGATGGGCAGACCGTGCAGGGTGCTCCCTACTGTGCTGATAGAGGCTTATTAGCAAAACCAGTCTAAACACAGTCTAGCAACAGAAACCTGACAACCCTATGTCAAAAATGAACCTTTTCACAGGGAAACACATGCTATTATACAGTGGATGAACAGAGGTCTAGGCACAGCTGGAATAGGGCATCTACTGCAGTCCCTGGAGGGTCCAGGAAGGCCCAGGAAAAACGAGGAACCATTCCTTCTATTCAATAAACAGCAGAGGAGGCCTCAGGGGCAGTGGAAAGAAACCATTCTGTTGAAGAGGACAATGACCCTTCCTCTCTCACAAGGTATGGCTTAGAAAGATTGAGAGCGATGCTGACTGCTATGCTATCCACAGCACAGCTTTTTACAAGGAAGCAGCAGAAAATAAGAAAGAAAAAAGGACATTTTTTTCTTACTATAAAAAGCTCCAGCTAAATCAAAAACATTTCTTCATCCAGGAGTTGTTTTTTTTTCTCCTAATAACAAAAAAGTATCAAAATGCTTGCTTCAGTTCAAAGAGAGAAAATACCCTAAAATTTCCTCAAAATAATAAACTGTGACTTCTCATTAACTTACTTTCTAAATCTTCTAATTCAACAGCATTTAACTAGTATCTTAATTTTTTTTCTATTATGATGGGCATCAGCTCAATCAATATTAACATCATCACTTAGAAGAGGGAGTCCCTGGCAAAATCCAGAAATCTGGGCACCATCTTGACCAAGCACTAAAAAGTGATGGATTGTTTTGTGTTTTTGTTTTTGTTGGTTTTTTTTTTAACCAGAGCAGCCATTATGGGAATTTTTTTAAGCTTAGGAGACTCAAATTGTTCTGATTATTTATAGTTACTCATATAGCAATGGCATATACATTTACATTATAAATGGGGAACATCTTAATGTTAAGAATAATTTATACACAGATTTTTTTACCCCCTTTAGGAGAATTTCAAAAAATTTAAAGGACTCAGGTAGAACCCCGAAAGAAAGTAGCCTTGTCTTTCCTGTCTCTCAAGAATGTAAAGTGTAACGAGAAAGAATTAAGGTAAATATAAATTGCCCTGGACCTTGACATCCAAGCCAAGGACAGAACCAGTGGATCTCCAGGACAATAAAGGGGAAAGCTCCAGCTTTAAACAACAGCACCCAGGAGAACTGTGGGCTTGGGGAGGGTTTTTTGTTTTGTTTTGTTTTTCTTTAAGAAACTGTGAACAGGTGGGGTCCAACTGACTTCTCTTTCTCTTCCAGCCATCAGCAGAAATGCCACAAGGAACGGTGGCATCAGCAAAGCAAACGAAGGCTGGCATGCTGGAGCTCACTTTTAGAAAATCTTGCCACGGATAAGACTCTTGGGAACAAACGTCAGAAACTGAGAGACAGGTTTGCAACCAGCTCTACCCACACAAGGCCCTGCTCTTCAGAAAGGACCCACAGCAGCCAAACTGAGAGCCAGGAGAAAGAGAGGGTGTGGGAGGAGGGTCAGCCTTCCTCCTGCTCTTAAGGTCTGGACTGTGAATTGAAGTCTGACCAAGTGTGGTGTGGGGTGAAGCACTGCTGTGTGTACCTTCACTTCCCAGTACTGTCACACTGCCAATAAAACGACAGCAACAACTGAGTGCTGCAAGCACATAAAGGCCAAGGCAGATTGTAAAGCTAAGCACAAGCATATGTTGGGGGCGCTGGAGCTGAGCTACCTGGCAGAGAAACCCTGCCGCTGGAGCTGGCCTGGATACACTGGAGCCCCATGCCCTGATGGCTGCCCAGCTTCTTAGGAACCCCTTGGCAGTCAGTAGGGACCACGAGTTCCTCCCCCGCCCCAGGAACCCCCTTCCCACCCCACCCCCTTGCCCCTGGCCCTCACTTCCTTGCCTGCCCTCAGGACACTGCCACAGCCTCTCTCAGAGCAACTGGGGAAGGGGAGAGGGCTCCTGGCAGATGTCACCCGCCCCCAAGGTCACATCAGCTCTGACAGCGTTAAAGCTCTCCTTCATTTCACTCCCCTCGCCTGCCCCATAAAACAACAACAACAACAACACACTTTACCACGTGTCGGATCCCTCCAAATTGGGCCTGATCAAACGGGGCGGTGCTGACCTTTGCGGAGATCTGGGGAGCTCCGCGAGGCATTCTTGCAGAAAGCAAACATCCTGTTGGAAACCGCGGCAATGGCTGCGTTTTACGTGGTACGAGTTAGGGGAGAAAGAGCCGGGCAAGTCAACCCTGCAGGGGGTCCCAGGGGGGCCCCGCGTCGGGGATGCAGCCACCCCGCCAGCCACCAGGCAAAGGGGGAGGGGTGAAATAAAACGTACTTGAGTGCGTGCCACCTAACTGGTGCCCCTGATCCGAACCCGTTTCTACCCGATTTCGTCCAGAGCTACCTGCCGCCCTCACCACGAACATCCTCCTCTCCCCTTCCCCGCCCCCAACCGGCTGCGATGGTGACTGGGGGGAGGGGGATGGGGCAGCCCATCTCTTTCCCTAAGGGCTTTCAGATGCTGCTGTCCAACTGCACGGGTGATGGTGTGCGTGAGTGAACGAGTGTATGCGTGTGAGTGTGAACCGTGCTCATGCGCAGGCGCGGGGCCAGAGTCGGACGCGCACCCTCGCCGGCTGACCGACCCCCGAGCCGCTCTCCTCCGGCTCCAGTCCGTCCTCGGGCCCCCGCCGCCCGCTCCCCAGGCCGCGCGCTACCTGCAGCCGCAGGCCTCCACCACCATGTCCTCGTACTGCTTGTAGACCACGTTGTTGGCCGCGTCGATGTAGAGGATGCTGATGGGGCTGAGGCGCGCGGGCACGCAGCAGGACGCGGGCGCGGCGTCGGGCGCCATGGAGTTGAGCAGGGTCTGTATGATGGCGTGGTTGGTGGGCTCCAGATGCGAACGCAGCGGGAAGTCGCAGACGCCCTCGCAGTGGTACGCCTCGTAGTCCAGCGGCGCGATGATCCAGTCGTCCCAGCCCAGCTCCTTGAAATCCACGTGCAGCGGCTTTCGGCTGCAGCGGCTCCGGCCCCTGCGCCCGCCACCGCTGCCCGGGGCGGCTCGGGTCCCGGCCGTCCGCCGCCGCCTGCGACCTCCGAGGAATGACTTGGGCGCTCCAGGGCCGTCGGGGCCCGGGTCGGGAGGCGGTTCGACGGCGAGGGTTTCCCGCAGCGCGCGGGCTTGGGCGCGGATCTCCCGGAACAGACTCTCCTTTCCGGTGCGTGCGGGAGGAGACGACAAGCAGCGCGCGCTCTTCCGCCGCCGCGTCGCCGCCGGCCCGCAGCCGAAGCCCAGCATTCCGCAGGGGCCGCGGGCTCCTCTCCGGGCCGACCTCCGCGCGAAGCAAAAGGCAGAACGACCGGTTGGCGCGCGGCTCCTGCCGGTGGCTCCGCACGGCGTCCGCCACGTCGAACACCTCCCAGCGCGCGCTGCCCAGGGGCTCGGCGGCCTGCGAGCGCAGCAGGCGCGGCGGGCGGGCGGCCCCCGGGCACGTGGACAGCAGCAGCAGCGGCGGCGGCGGCGGCGGGGGAGTCGCCCGGCCCAAGCCAGGCTCGCGGCGCAGCACCCGCAGCTCAGCGCCCACCACCTCGTCGCCCTCGGGAAGGCTGGACACGTCAAACAGGAAACGCTGGCCGTTCTCCGCCGTCGATCCGTCTGCCAGAGGTGAACAGAGACACAGGTAGAAAAGAAAGAGAACGAAGGCTGTACTCCCCTTTCTCCATGCCCCCCCCCAACAGCACTCAGCTCAGCCGTCCTGGAAGCAGGGTAAGGCCTGGGGACTCCAGCATTTGCCCCCTCCCCCGTATTGGGGGCGCAATCACGATGCTGCCATCCTAGCCCCAGAGCAACCACAGACACCCTCACATCGGGGCTGGGAGCGCGCCACTGCGTCCCAGACCAAGTCAGCTCCGTCCCCCGTTCCAGAGGCCTGGGCTTTGGGTAACAAGATCGGATGGGTGCCGGACTTCAGGCAGGGGTGACGCCCCCCGCAGTGTAGCCACTGCTCCTGGCCGCCCTGCCTGCCGAGGTAGGGGGAAGCTGCTGCGGGTCGGTGCGGAGCGCCAACGAGAATGTCTTATCCCCAGAAAACACTTTCCTCTTCTGCTTCCTCTCTTCCCCAAACCCAGCCCGGACATCCCCTCCCCCAGGGTCCCCCGTGCAAACTCGGCCTGCCAGTCGTCGCAAAGTCGGACAAGGCAGAAAGGCGGCATCGTTTAGCCAACGGAGAACTGAGGCCCAGAGCTTGCCCAAAGTCTCAGCCTGGCCCCTCTCGGCGCCCCCCTAGCCTGGAAAGGACGGGGAGGGGTTGGGGAGGGGGGAGGCGAAAGAACTCGAGATTGGAGACAGCGGAACGGGTTTGCTGCCCGCGGGAAGTCTAGCTTCCACCAGAGCGCGGGAGTCTTTCGAGCCTGTTCACTCTGTGGCGACTAATCTCGGGCTTGGGATTTTATTTCTGGTCGTGAGCACTTTTTTTTTTCTTTAGGGGATCAAGGGGGGGGGTAAATTCCACCAAGCAGTAGATAAGGAGCTCCCTTTGAAGGGGGTCATATGGTTTCGTTTTGCCCCAAACTCGGGAGAGAGACTGCAACCTTCCCCCAACCCCTCATCAGAGACTCAGCTCAGCTCACCAACGGTGGACTCCGGGCCCTGATGTCTGTCGGGGTGTTGTCTTCATCTTTCTCTCTGAACTTGCCCCTGAAGCCCTCCACCTCCTCCTGCTCAGGGCCCTGATTCTTACCCTTGGAAGAAAGAAGCAAGGCCTCTCAGGCCTTACCAGTCAAGCAGAGCTCTCCCAGGAAAGGGTTTCGCTGGGTCTCTGACAGTGGGGAATACAGCTAACCCTAAGAAAGTCTGGTGTCTGCAAGTGTAGGGTCCCGCGCAGGTCCTCATGCAGGGGTGGCCTTTGCTGGCCCTGCATGTCAGGCCTGGGCTTCCTATGTATATCCAGTCCTCTAGAGCAGGGGACATATCTGGACCTCAGAGAATACTTGGTCATTCTAACAGACTCATGGAGCTATGTTAGCTTAGGTTTCCCACGTACTCCGAATAAAGGAGTGTGCGCATAGGTGTGCTGCAGGGGTGGTTGCCCACCTCGCAGAGGCCTCTCTCTGCCTGCTTTCCCCAGACTGGGATCCCAGGTGTCCAGACCTCCGGTCCAAGCCTCAGACCCACAGCCTTTACTTTCCAGCCCCAATTCTTTTTTTTTTTTCTTCCTCTCTTAACTTTCCATGCCGGACAGAATTAAAGCCAAAATTACTTGCATTTCCGCCTGAAATTAGTTAAATTTTCTCTATCTGTCTGCTTTAATGACTTCAATGGAGATTAATAAAATCCAGATGACACGCAGAAACACCACATGGCCTCACCCACGTCCTACCTTTTTGGAGGGCCCTGAAGAGGGTAAGGTGGGGTGCCAGGGCCGCGGGCATTCTTCCTGCACAGACTCCAGGGAGGCCTCCCCTCCCCAGGCAACCGAAAGTCCAGGACCTCTGGCTCTCCATATCCATGGAAAGATCTATACCCACTCACTCGTCAAACACGCAAACCACTACAACCCGGATACGGCCTGCCAAGAAGGGCCCTCGTACTGAGAGCCACCACCTTCCCTAGCCATTGGCGTTAGCCTGATACCTGCCTCTAGCCGGTGCTCCCCTGGACTCTCTCCAATGTGTGCACCCCCCTCCCGTGGCCACCGCCATCACTGTGTACGATCCCTCGTGGTAGAAACTCCAAAACCCCCACTCCTGTCCTGCTTTCTTCTCAGAGGGGTCTGGGCCCCGGGGCCATTCCAGACCCCTTCTTCCAAGAAGCAGATCTGTGCTCAGCCTGCCTGCTCGTGGAGCGGACCTGCCAGCCCGCCGAGGCATCCGCTCAGCGCTCTTGGGCCCTGGGGCCAGGCCCCGCTAGCCGCTGCCACCCGCGGCCACAGTCCCAGGCGCACGGGGCTCCAGCGCGTTGGTTTGGGCGGTGAATTTTCCTCTCTAACACCTAAGGTTGGACTCGTGAGACTGAGGCCCAGAACGGAATGGATCCTGGGCGACCTCAGTCCAGGCTCGGACGGGATGGGGTGGGCGCAGAAGAGGCGTAAAGTACCTTGGGTCGCCTGGTCGGTGAAGCCGGTGATGGTGTCCGCACGGGCCCGGCCCGAGGTGGAGGCTACCCCGGCCGGAGCGTTCCCGGCCAGGCTCCGATAGAGCGACATCATGAAGTGGTGCGGCACCACCGAGCCGTTCCTGAAGGCAGAGCCGGAGGCGCGGCGCCCAGCGCGGACCCCGGGAGCCGCCGCGAGGGCCTGGCCCGCAAGGATGCCCGCGGCCGGGGCGAGGGTCCGCGCGCCGCGGCCGGCGCCGCCGCCGCCCCCCGGGCTCCGGGCCGGCCCAGCCCCCGCCGCCCGCAACACCGCGGCAGCTTCCAGTCCGTCGCGGGGGCGGCAGGCGCTCAGCAGCCAGAGACACAGCGCGGCGGCGGCGCTCAGGTCCATGAGCTCCGTGGGCCCGGCCGGCCGGGCGGGCGACTGGGGCTCCGTGGCTCCGGGAAGTCCCCCGGCGCCTTTTGAACATAGTGTTTAATAATGGGGGAAGTGTGCGCGGCCAGCCGCGGCCCCCCTCCTCTCCCACCCCACCCCCGCCAGCGCCCGGACCAGCGCCCCCTGCCGAACGCTCTACTGGCGGCGCTGCGCCCCCCACCCCAGCCGAGGGTGGAGTCCCCCCCCTCACACACAGCCCGCGCCCCCGACCCCGCA